GGGGGGGGGGGGGGGGGGGGGTTTCGGGTTTTTTTGCGTTCCCCGGTATGGGGAAAGGGGTAGGATGGGGTGGGGATCGCTGCTTTCAGTGTGGATTTAATCTAAGACGCATCAGGAGGAGAGGAAAAAAAAAAAAAAAAGAATCGGCTCCGTGTGTCGAAAGACAGAGGGGGGAGAGCAGCGGGGCTGGAGATTTTGTAATTCTTCCTGGCCTTTGTGCTGTTTTAACTCCTTTAACAGCAATTGGCAATAAGGCTGGAGCGCACGTCTGGTTCCTATTATTATTATATTATGAATTTTTTTTTTTTTGCATCCTGCAGTGTTTTATTATTTTTTGTGGTGCAGAAATATGCTCTGATCAGAGAGGGGTATCTCGCTTGAATTTAGCTGGAAGGTCTGAAAGAGCCAATGTGAGAAAGTTTTGCAGCGCTGCAGACGCTGCGTTCGGATTTCTGCTGGTTTATTGTCGCTTGCGACGAAGGTGGTATAGTTGGGAGAGTGGCAAATGGCGAATTTATGATAATTAAGTCAAGTGGAAGGAAGCGAAGGAGCCAAGAAATGGGCTTTGATTTTTTTCTGTCTATAAGCTATAACTTTGCGTGCCTGGGCGTTAAGCGCAGAGGCTGATGTGTGGTGCCCGCTCGCTGCAGCTTCCCTCGCCTCCCTCTGCCCCCTTTGCATCCTTCGCTATGCAAAAATTAAGGGGTGAAGAGGGGAATTCTGCACCCTTCTGCCCTCCGTTTCCAAAAAGCCACTTTTCCCTCGGGGCTCGGGCTATTTTCCTCGCTTTCTGCAGCCGGGCGCTTGCAAGGAAACGGAAAGAAAATGCGTGTGCAGAGAGTAGACTTTGCTTTGGGACTTATCAGCAGGGCTGTCCGCCCCGCTCTATCAGCTGGGGCCGGCTTGGTTGAAGGACAGAAATGAGCATATTTGTCTGATTGCCATGAAATCGCCGGGAAAGCGGCGTGCGGGAGCGGCGGGAGCCCTGGGCTGCGGCGCTGCGGGAGCCGCCCCGCCGGCAGGTCCGGAGGCAGGGCCGGCAGCACCTGGATTAAAAGTCCTGCTGGTTTTTGGCAGTGGGTTTTCCTGCTCTTTCCTGATCCCGCAGGCAGGGCTTTGCTCTTCGGGGTCCTGCTCTCTTCTCAAATTGGAGGGTTGGGACTCCTCCAGCCCGGTACTGGAGCGGGGCGGCGGGCAGGCGGCATCCCCGTCCCCACCACCCGCACCCCGTTATAGCGAGGGGAGCCCCCGGCCGGGGGCATCGTACGCGCTGGCACGGGGAGTTGCGGGGTGCCCTGCACCCCTCATCCCTCCAAACGGAGGAAGAAACAGCCATTGCCCAGCGATAACCTGGATCCCGAGGAAACTCCCAACCATTCACCAAAAACTTTCCCCCCCCCCCCCAAATCATCTCACTCTTAGCACCCCCAGCGCCCCAAGACACACGCACACACAGAGCATAATGCGATTATATAAAGTATTTTATTATAGCAAGGGGGTGGGTATGATTCCTTTGCAGTTTAATTATGGCATTTAAAGAGTTTTAAGCGCGGGCATAACTTGCATGGATCGCATTGCACGGCTAAATTAATTCTGATGCGGTGGCAGCAACACGGGGCTCTTTCATTGCCACCACGGCCCGGGTCACCGGCCAGCCCGGCCGGGGGATTGGGGGCGAGCTGCCTCCAAACCAGCTCGGCCAAACACGGAGATTCACCCCAAAAGCGGGGCCCTTTGCCCCCTGCCCTGTCCTGCTCCTGCCGGGGTCCTGCCGGCGCTGGGGGAACTGGGAGGGGGGCTTTTTGCTGTCGTTTTTTAATACAAAAATCTCCTTATTTCTGCCCCAACCCCTTGCCGGTTTGTTTTTTTTTTTCTCCGTCCTATAGATCACTCAATTAAAAATTGACAACAACCCCTTTGCCAAAGGTTTTCGGGACACCGGGAATGGAAGGAGGGAAAAAAGGTGAGTCTGGATAGATTATATATAGGTGCCTCTTTTGGTTTTCATGTGTAAAGCTCAGAACATGAGCAGAGGTCAAAATCACCTCGCCTTGCCTCCAAACCACACTTCCCACGCCAAAATTCATAAGGATCTTGTCATTAATAACGCCAAACTGATTGCATGGGAATTCTTCCCTGCTTTCCACGCTTATTTTTTACATCGCAGGGGATGGCTGGCCAAAGGGATGTTGGTGCATTAAGCAAATATCACCGGAGAAAGAAGTTTCCCTTAACATTTTGAGAGGAATATCGCACTGTAGTTTGTATTTGGAATAGAAATTCCGCTGGGAAAGAGGGAGAAGCGAGGGCAGAGCTGATCGCTGGGTGATTCTCCTCTGGCATTTTCCCGGGGACTGTATCGAAAAGACTAAAGTGTGGAGGAGAAACATATAAATAAACTGCTTTGACAGAGGTGTCTTGTGAATATGGAAGTAATTAATGACAGAAGATTCTTTATTTTTTCCAAAAGCAGCAGGACACAGTTTGTGCCCCAGGTAGACAGACGGACAGGACTCGTTTTAATGGGACACAAATTTTTATTTTTAATATTGGAGAAAATAGAGAAAGGGATGATTTTTTTTCCCTTTGACAGGGGATAGGTCTTTGTTTTGTTGTGTTATACCAGACAGGATATTTTAGCCATTTGCATTCGGGTTTAGATAATGAATAAATCTGTTCCTCTTTTTTTAACCAAAAAAAAAAAAAAAAAGGGAAGGGGGATGTAATGTAAAACAAGAGGCCTTTTTCCCTGCCCAGCACACACACACACACACACACACGCACACACACACACGCCAGCTCCTCTTGTCCGTCAGTGTGAAAATAAAGCCAAGGCTGGAGCCACAGGACGGAAATGATTTCTAATTTCTCTCTAAATATAAATAGATTTTTACTCCGGGTTAATTGTTGGTGAAAAGATTACATAAAGTGCCTAACAAAATAACCACTTCCTAGCAATCTTAGCAACCATTAAGATGGCTCATATCTCTGGAACATCCTCGCCTTTTAAAAGCTAATCTCCAGGGAATGCTTCCCTCTCCCCTCCGCCCCTTGTCTTTAATATCTGCCCTTGCTGAGGAGCTGCTCACCGCTTCCAAGAAATCTCCTCTCATTAGCAGCCAAGTCCTGCCTGCGAGAAACGCCTTCCCCCCTCCGGGGGACCTTGGCCCTCAATTCCCCCCATCACCCCCAAATAGGAGCTGGGGAAGGGGCTGGGGGGTCCCGGG